CTACCGCCCGTGAGTGGGAACAAATCCCGTCAGTTAGGAAAGGGAACATTTGCTACTGTGTGGCCAGGTGCTAACTGTCACTCATATTAAGAAATGGTTTGACCAATTTCTTGTAGAATGTGTTGTGATTGTCTCTGTGGTGTTTCTACTGTATACCTTCTATTCTGCAGCACCGCCATCAAACCTGGCGTGGGGTGTACTTGTGATGCTGCCAATGATCTCCTTGTTTGTAGGACTGTGCACGATTTTCCTGCTGCGTAGAAAAATGGCGGACTCCAACAACGATCCGGAAATGAGCGGGGATAGCTCCAAGTCGTCTGGGGAATCGTCATCACTTGAAACAGATTTACCAACTGACACAATATAGCCCAGCATCCCTGGTCTCAATATTGTGAAAAATAAGCCATTGAGAGACAGAATCAATCCACTGTTAGAGAGACCAAATCAATCCACTGCTATTCAAATGAAACTTAAATAAAGGCGGACGCAAAGAGTAGATTGCACAGTTCATTTGCTATGCATATTTCGCTGTATCTCGTCAGGTGCATTACTACAAAGTTACATCAACATAAGATAAAGCACAACTGAATCAATTCCATAGAAATATAAATGTTCTTTCTCGAAACACGGCGTTTCTCTAATGGCCGGAAGTTCGAGATGGTCTCGTGACTTACTAAGGCAACAAATTGATACTTACCAAGAACGAACGATCTAAATCTGAGATGGTAGTTCAGGGCGTGTACAGAAAACAGTGTAGAAGTAATACCCACATTCCGGTTGTGACATTGTGTAACAGATCAGCAGAATTCCTAGCCCGCTACATCTCGAGTTGAATGGTTATTGTCTGAAGCAGGTTGAACAATTTAATATATCTAAGAAGTATTTTCACATCATAGTTAAATACACCAGTAACCTTCGACAGAACTGACGGCTGGGTTGGATCACACGCAGTTCTGATGTTGACAGGGCCTTTGAGGCAGTTTACTGCAGTATGTCTATATACAATCTAACTGATACACACAGAAGCAGGCGGAGCAGCAGAGAAGGGACACAAGATACACTTGAATGGTTGACTGACATACAGACAAATGGGAGACGGACAGTGAAAGGTATGATGTTTGAATGAGTTGTATTGCACTTACTGACATATATATATGTTTCACGGTCTCTTAATTTCAAGTTACTAACTTACTTTCAAGGCTAATTGCTTTAACGTAAATAAGTAAATGCTCTTTTCTTTTGATCACCTGAGAACATTCATTGCTGACTTTTCTGTCCCGTTACAATCGAACTATTTACCAACCTACCCTGTTCTTGTCAATGTGGTAAATAACCGACTCAATACGAATTCACGTGTTAACAAATAAATTGAAAACCAAAATAATTTTTATGAATCCGTTCAGTTCGATTCTATCATGTCACTGGAAACAGATTTGGTAGAAAGATTTGGGAGCTGCAGTGTTGTGGCAGCTACACGCTAGCCTGTGGTTCCAAAGGTCGCGGGTTCCGGTTCCGGTGGAGCCGGACTTCTTTTAAACCAACCCTAACATTACCCATGAGCTGACTAAGTTCTTATCACATTATTGTACGCACGGTGAGAGTTACTTCCCGTCCCATTCATACCGCGGCCAGCCACTGGGCCTGTCGTATGTTGTGGAAGTGTCATGTATTCCTTATTTTCAACGGTTCAATCGTTCTTTCATTTCTCATGTTGTCATTCCTCACTTGAGCCAATATTGGCACGCTGTTTTACTTCCGCGTGAGTAGTAAAATTAGGATGTTTTTTGTATTTCTTTTTTTCCTTGGCGGTCGCTTCTTTTTATGGGGTCAGCGAAGACATACAAAAACATACTCATGAACCGTCTCGCGTGCAGGGCTTCCCCCTTTCTTACTTGTACACAAGTGCCTGTGGCGTCTCAAAGAGACTCACAACAACACAACCTCCGACAAGCACTGTATACGCTGAGCGAATGGCGAATGAAGTCATATCATAACACAATATAGGACAGACCCTGTGACTGACCGAAGCATGAATGGGACGATTTGTCTATTATGCGTAAAAATATGGGTCAAGTAGCATATATATATTGACGCGCGAAGGGCGTATGAAGCCCGTGGGTTTTACTGGGTTGCCACAGTCTGAAACCAAATTTGACAGGTCGAGGCCCATACAGTCATTCACAATAATGTTACCTACTTGAGATCATCTATGGCAGAACTGTCTAAACTTATCGGTTAGTGACACACTAAGCATGTCGTAGAAGACGACTAATTATAGGTGTTCCTTTCGAAGTCTTAGTCTATCTATCTGAGAGGCGAGTAACCAACAGTCTGCAAACATGAAAATCAGATCGGGGAAACTGATGTGCATGCACAACTCAAGTTCTAGAACAAGACAAAGTCTAGAAGTGGACGAACAACCAGGATCTCCCCCCTCCCCACTGTAGTTTACATCCGGTGGACATTAAGAGAAGAGAAAAGTAGGAGTTGACAAACTTTCTAGACAAACAATTTCCGGATGCAGTCACTTAGTTTACTAGTTCACCAGATCTGTGCTAAACAATACATTTGCCGATTATTCTGTCTGACGCCTTACGTTCACACCAGGCACTTTCACACTGCAATCGATACAGTTATCTGCTTGGACACACAGTTTAGAAAGCTGTCACCTAGAGATACACAACAGTATTGTAGATAATAATACCAGATGTTATTTCTAAAACTTTAACAGTTGATGATTGATATTATTCAACACACAGCCTGTCAATTAGGATGTCGTGGTTAGTGGTGTTACTGACAACGCTGTCTCAAATGTCTGACAGTCGCATGTCACTGACAGTAAAATGGCTAAAGCCTTTCCTGCATCCGACATCAACGCTTCATAGGTAAGGCTTTAGCTTAATTAAAGGTCATTCATTTACACGTCTAAACATATGGTCTCTTGACAGCCTACTCTGCTGACTGGTGTGCGCTGTGTGGTTTGCTCCTGCCTCTCTGTTCGGAACAAGATTACGTGAAGTGTGTGGGGTTGTACATGTGACACTTGCGTGACTGCTCACTTTTTCAGTGGCAAGCAGACTTGACCCTGACAGTCTATCTCCAGGTGATTCCTATAAATAAACAGATGATGCAACTTTGGGCTCTAGCGCCTTTGACCTTCTACTCCCACCCCGCCCCCCCCCCGCCTTTTTTTCAACAAACGCTCTTTTCAGAAAAAGGTGGCTGGTGGGGGGAAAGAGTGGCATTTCAATAACTAATTGGCGGGAGGAGGAGTCGAAGGTGTTGTTAATCAGCCCCCAACTCTATAAAATTTGCAAGGGCTATGATTGGTCCCCGCAGCATGTATAGACGTTCTCTTCTTTCTTTTAAGTACAGTCCTACCTCGGGTTACGAACGATTCTTCTTATGAACAAATCTGCTCACGAACTGAATTTCCACATGGATATGAACCGCGACAGTAACTCGGTGCATTGAAGAAAAGACGTGGTTTGGTGAAAGAGACATAAACATAGAGTCATACAGAGAGTATGAAAGGCTGAGAGAAGGTGACAAGAGAGGCAGACAGACACATACACATACAGAGAGAGAGAGAGAGAGAGAGAGAGAGAGAGAGAGAGAGAGAGAGAGAGAGAGAGAGAGAGAGAGAAAGAGAGAGAGATAAGAGAAAGATTGATTGCTAGTGAGAGAGATAAGGGAAACAACCCAGTACTATTAGGTTATTCCGCCTGGCGGTAACTTTCAGGAGAAGTTGACGTCCGTGGCAATATGGCGGCGGTCATTGTTGTGTTGTCTAATTATACATAACGAGAAATTCATGCATTGTTTATAGTTAGTGGTATGCAAAAGTAACAGAAGAATTCAAGTTTTTGTTGTTGACGTATTTGCTGTAACACTGTGGAACACTGTGTTGGTATTGAGCGTAAAAGTTTTAAGAAAAAATATTAAACCAAAACAAAACTGGTGAATCAGTTGTCACACCCTGAGGGATATATAGAGGACGGGATCCGAGGGCTAATGGTCCTGTCTGATGTGCAGGAGGACGGGATCCAAGGGCTTATGGACCTGTCTGATGTGCAGTGAGGACGGGATCCGAGGGCTTATGGACCTGTCTGATGTGCAGTGGGGACGGGATCCGAGGGCTTATGGACCTGTCTGATGTGCAGTGGGGACGGGATCCGAGGGCTTATGGATCTGTCTGATGTGCAGTGGGGACGTGATCCGAGGGCTTATGGATCTGTCTGATGTGCAGTGGGGACGGGATCCGAGGGCTTATGGATCTGTCTGATGTGCAGTGAGGACGGGATCCGAGGGCTTATGGACATGTCTGATGTGCAGTGGGGACGTGATCCGAGGGCTTATGGATCTGTCTGATGTGCAGTGGGGACGGGATCTGAGGGCTTATGGATCTGTATCTGGTCTGCATGATGTGCAGTGAGGATAATCTGTCGATTAACTAACTAACTTTCTGCAAAAGTTAAAGTCAGAAACAGGATGGAGTGGGTTGATCAAGAACCTGGATTGGTCATTGGAAGTTTAGAACTTTATACCATGTCAGCTGAAATCAACAACCGCACGGGGGACTTACCTCTTGCGATACATTTGCCCTTTGGTTTGGATGCTGTGGGTTCTTCTCACAGACTGAGTCTTTCGAATCATAAGCTCACATTGTACGGAAACTGCCCAGGATCATTGTGGAAATACAAAGTTTAACACTTTTACAGAACTGCTCATTTTGCTGAAAGAACAAAACCAGCTGCACTGAAGGCAAATCTCAGGACTTTATTAAACTAACACTTAAAACTTCAGAAGTAGATATAGGGTTTCAAAGACGAAATAATTCTGCCATAGCCAGAAAGACACAGCATTTAAAAAAAAAAAAAGTAAAAGTAAAGCGTTTGATGAACGTGATCGAGTTTGTTTCAAAGTGACTTCATGTTTATTATATTCTTAATAAATACCACACTGTTTGTCTTTGGCCATTATGCTTTATCCTTAGTGTG